GGAAATGGGGGAGATCCCTGTTGATACAGCCTCATACTTTAGACTGGCTGCCCCCAATTGCATTTCACAGGCAATCCCGAGTTGGTAAATTGGCATGTGGAGTCCAGCATGGTGCATCACCGAGTTAAACAGCGGGATAACTTTCCAGTTCTCATTTAAGTCCCCACGCCGGATATGCGGCGGCCTACATCGACGATATCATCATATACTCCCCTACCTGGGCACAGCATAAGCAAGCCATAGGGGCTATACTATCGGAGCTGAGACATGCTGGTCTCACAGCAAACCCACAGAAATGCGCCCTGGCCCAGAGGGAAATGAAGTATTTAGGATTCTTGGTCGGCAGGGGCACCATTAGACCCCTGGCAGACAAAGTGGAGACGGTGCGGAATTTTCCAGCCCCCCAGAATTGTCGCCAGTTACAGTCATTCCTAGGACTGACCAATTCTTACCGAAGATTTGTACCTCACTTCTCGGAGCTGACAGCCCCTTTGACTGAGGCGCTTAAAGGGCAGAGGAACATGATGGTAAAGTGGACAGAGGAGATGGCGCGAAGTTTTTGAAAATTAAAACAGGCACTATTCGAAGACGTGGTAATGCGTAATTCTAATTTTAAGAAACTTTCATTTTGCAGACTAATGCCTCAGAGACGGCAGTGGGGGCTGTCCTCACTCAAGAGGAGGAAGGAACCGAGAAAACGGTGGCGTATGCCAGCCGCAAGCTGTCATCAGCGGAGAGGAGGTATGCCGCAATAGAGCGTGAGTGTCTGGCCATCCGTTGGGCCATGGACCATTTCAGATACTATCTGATGGGCCGGGAGTTTAAGTTAGTAACGGACCATGCCCCTCTCAGATGGCTGAGCACCGCTAAAACCGATAATGTACGAATCACCCAGTGGGCATTAGCCCTACAGCCTTACAAATTTCAGATCATGTTCAGACCAGGAAAGAGTAACACAGTGGCGGATTTCCTGTCTAGGTGCAACAACTGGGATTCAGGCGAACGTATAGAGCAACGAACTGAGAGACCCGACAACCCACCAGGTATGATTTGGGGAGATAAAGTGAAAGCGCCCCAAGGCATCTTGAGGGGGGGGTTGTGTCCCAGGGGAGGTGGGGTGACAGAGGCACCCCAGGTTAGTAAAGAGACCCACTTGCCCCCAGTAGAGCTGGAACAGCCAGAAGAGGAGTGCACGGCAAAAACACTGGTGCAGATGATCAGCCATGCATATATACGGCTGCGGCAGAGCAGCAGGGGCAGAGGACACTCCCTGGAAGGTATAAAAAACAGCCACGGCGGGGCGGCTGATGCGAGGAGGCTGGAGGAGCGAGGCCTCATGCAGAGGGAATCAGCCACCGCACCCAGCAGCGGGGAAAGCCAGAGGCGGAGCTACTGAAGGCTCCAAGAGAGCCGGTTGCGCAACCAGCACCAGAGCCGGTGAAGCCGGTTGCGCAATTCACGGCAGAACCAGTAAAGGAGCCGGCTGCGGGGCTGGCAGGAGAGCTGGCAAGGAGGCTGGTGGTAATATCGGTGCAGGAGCCAGCTGGTAACCCGTCGATAGCACCAACAGCCAGACCGGCTGGGAAGCCTGCAGCCCAGTCAGCCATAGAGGCAGCGAGGAAGGAAGGTGCAACGCCAATGGGGAGAGCAGGAGCTGCACCTGCAGCAGAGCCAGCAGCAGCGCCCGCAGAGGGACAGGAAGAAAAGGTAACAGCGGGGCAGGGCCAACGGGGCATCTTCGGGCGGAGTTAGAAGACGGGCTGAGACCCGAAGCAGGGCCGGACAGTTGATCCTCATGGACCCAGCGGCCTGGAGAGGAGAGGGGGACCCGACACCCCAGCGGGTGAGCTGCCTGGGCAGAGGGGCCCGAGCCCAGCAAGGGCTGCGCAGCCCAGAGGCTAGAGGCACCCTCGTGGGCCTCCTGGTTCAATTAGATTAGGAACCCTGGTTAATCTTGGTGGTGGGTTAGGCACACACCGTCACTGGGTGGTTAGAATAGAGTATTAGGTGCTGTTGTGGAAGGGCCGGACCAACGGCCTCAGCAGGCTATACATCAGGCCAGAAGACCTAGACGTACAGCGGACAAGCTGCGGGCAGGAGGGGGAAAGCCAAAAGACACCCAGGAGGCCTGAAGGCGAGAGCCTAAGGTGGCGAGTCGCTGGGGTGC